CTGCAGTTCCTTGGCCTTATTCTGATTTCAATTACACTGGAGTAAACCAAGATTAACTCACTCAAGTCAACAGTGTTTACTGGTGTAAAACCCATCAGAATTAAGTCCCATGGGCGAGATTATCAGCTTGCTTTCAACACTCCTGCTAATGCAAGATCCTAACCCCTGAAAATAAAAGATGTTCCCTTTTCAAAAGTACAGCGCAACCGACAATTGTAATTCAGCAAAAGCCTAATTAAAGACAAAGGGATATGGCCTGAATTAGGACTGCCCTATAACATCCACAGATATTAAGGTTACTTTGCACTTGCATAGGGCTTTCAACTCAAGGATCTCAAAGTACTTTGCAAACAGTAAAGAATTCAGTCTCAAAGCACACCATGAGGCATGGAAGAATCATTATCCTTATTTTACTTATTATTATTTACAACACACACACACTCTTAAAAGAAGGTTAAAGTTGCAAAGTCAAGCCCTCAAAAGTGAGGAAATGCTAGAATTAAGGTTTGCAGTCTTGTTGTAGCAATGCCGGTCCCAGGATATTAGAGAGACAAGGTGGGTGAGTTCATATCTTTTATTGGACCAACTTCTCTTGGTGAAAGTGTTGTGTATTTGGTTGGTTTTTGGTTAGTTCACTGTGTGGCAATAAATGGCTGCTTTTAAGGTTTGCAGCTCTCTGTGTCTCCAGTGATTTCTTCCTAAAACTGTTGCCCCCAAGGATATAACAGAAAGAGACAAGTTTTTGAGCAATACACAGCTCTTCTTCAGTTCTGGGAAAGGGACTCAGTGTCACAGCTAAATACAACGTTTGTTTAGCATGCATAGTTAACGTATATTGTAAGAGACCATTCAATGGGAGGTGGCCAGTTAACAGCCCTGCAGTCCAAGGACAAAAAAGCGGGGCTAGTGGGTCACAGATTGTTGTAATCAGCCATAAATCCATTGTCTTCATTAAGACCATGATTTTTAGTGTCTAGCAAAGTTATGAATTTAAGTTCCCAGGCTCCTCTTTTGATGGTGTTGTGCAGGTTTCCTCTGAGGAGGAGGACAGAGAGGCTGGATATGGAGTGACTGTTGTGTGAAAAGTGTACACCCACGAGTGATAGAATGTTTTGTCTTTTATCATGTTTCTGTGTGAGTTCATTCGAGAGCATGGTGATTGTCTTGGGTTTCACCCACAGAGTTGTTATTGGGACATTTAGTGCACTGTATGAGGTATACCACATGTTGTGACAGGCATATGAAGGAGGACCCATGGATTGTGAAAGGTGTGTTGGGGGAGGGTGTTAATCATTGTAGTAGTGGAGATACATCTGCAGGTTTTGCACCTGTTGCTATGGCAGGGTTTGGGCACCACTTTAAGTTCTTAGGCCCTGGTCTGTGGGAGTTTGCATCTGATGATGAGTTTGGCAAGGTTGGGGGGCTGTTTGAAGGCCAGAAGAGGGGGTTTGGGAAACATTTAATTCAGGATGTGGTCCCCATTGAGAATGGGTTGTAATTGTTTAATAATACCCCATATGGGTTCCAGCGTGGGGTGGCAGGTGACAACAAGGGGTGTGTGGTAAGAGGTTTTTCCCCCTCATATTGAAGTAGTTTCTCTTGAGGTCTTTGGGTGACCTGTTCCATGATGTGATCTACTTCTCTGGTGGAGCGTCCTTGTTTGGTGAAGGTGGTGTTAAGGTGTGTATCCTGGAATTTCTCCTCAGAGCATATTTTGCGGTATCTGAGTGCCTGGCTGTAGATCACAGATTTCTTGGTTATTTGGGGTGGTTACTGGGTTTATGAAGGTAGGTGTGGTGATCCATGAGTTTCCTGTCTATGGTTGTCTGTAGGGTTCCATTGCTGAAGCTGATTGTGAGTCCAGGAAGTTGACGCTGGTGCAGGACTGTTCTAGAGAACACTCTTCTGGCCTTCAAACAGCCCCCCAGCCTCACCAAGCTCATCATTGGAAGCAAGCTCCCCGCAGACCAGGACACACAACTCAAAGTGGCACCAGACCCTGCCAGAACAACAGATGCAAAACCTGCTGGCATTTCTCCACTGCTACAATGCATTATATGCACAATGGACAGGATGGGAGCATATTAATGTTGGCTGGACTCTTCTGTGGTATGCTCCAGATATAAATGCTTGTACATCTGCTATGTATTTTGAGAATAGGTCTCCTTGTTTGTCCTCGTGTACTGAAAGGACTTTTTATCCTCTAAGGATTGTTTGCTACAGATAAACTCTATTGATAAGTGCATGTCACCTTTCCTCAATCAGAAAAAAAGACCAGATGAGGGAGTAGTTTGAGGAGAAGTCCCAGGAACTTAAACAGCCAGTCCTAGCTCAGGACTCCTGTGGTGGCCGTTAGTCCCACTGTGAATTGGGTTCTTGGGAAGGGAGGGGTGGGAATATTTGTAGAGGGCAGAGCAGTTTGTGCTTTCAGTTGCACTTGGAGAGAGCACTGCACCTGACCCCTGGACCTGAAGTTTATCACTGGGGCCTCAAAATAGAGCTTGGGGCCAGCTGCCCTGCTGATGGCTGATGTTTAAAGAGGATGGGGAGGCCTGAAAATAGATCCCATGACCAGCAACATTGTAGTTGGCTGACACTGAGGAGGAGCAAGCAGGCTGGGAGCTGAACATAGCAGCCCATCCTCTCTGGCACCTCACTAACCTCCCTCTCTCCTGAAGAATTAGCAACCGATTCAATGACTGTGCTCACACTAGCAGATGTATCCACTGCAAATAGCACTTTGCTTAGCACTTAGCACATCATGCTTTGATGCAGCGCTGAGCTCCCTGGCATTGGCCTAGCATATCACTAAAGCACATGCTTGGCTTTAAGCATGGGAGTCACCCTGTTAACATGCTTCAGCGCTTTGCTGGATGGCGATTAGAGCACACAGCACCTGCCTATCTCTGGCTTTATGATGCAATGGTGGAAAAGGCTGTTCCATATTCTGACTGGTCTTAATGATGACAATCTCAGCAGAGAGGCCAAGGATTTAAAGGGCCAAGGAAACTGAACCACGACAGCTGGTCTGAATTAAGACACAGCATGTGGAAAGTTTCCATTGCTGCTGCCCAGGCTTTATCTGTTCTGAGGACAGAGAGGACTGCAGTCTCCGGGTCAACCCAGCACCTCTCACCATCACAAAGACACGAGATGAATTGGCCTGGCTGCCTCTGTCACTCATGTCTCTGAAGTACTGGGATGGGGGGATTTTTCTCCACGATGGAAGAGTTTACCGAAGCAGCTCTGGGTGGGAAAACACCAGCCTCCGGCTCAGCACCGGAGAGAAGTCCATTTGTGCTGCCCATGTCACACATGGCTGAAAACAATCCATGGGGCATTGTGAAAATCGGAGCCTGGTACCGACGCCAAGGTCAGGGTGACCTAGGCTAGGGCACATATGCTAAGCATTCCCACCACTGGTTCAGTGTCACGGGTGGTTTCAAACACGGGAGCACTAGTGCAGACAGGCACCAGCACCTGCCAGGGTTGTAAGCATCATATCACGATGCCCTGCTCTGAGCAGGGTTACCCCTGTCTTCACCAGTGCTCCCACTCTGCTGTGCTGGCAGAACTGAACAAGTGGGAGCAAGAACTTTCACCCAGCCTTAGGCTGAGGTGCTGACAGCCAGGCCAGGTGAGGCAATGCCACCAGAGCATCAGACAGAGCTACAGCTCACGGCGATGCAAAGATGTCACCCCGGAAGGAAATGGCAGAAGACAATGAGCATCAGTCGCCACTGTGGGCCACTCATTTCCTCCCCGCTTCACACCTGGGCAGCCACTTTCCCTCGCCCGACAGGCCTATGGGTTTTGCAAGCTTAACACCCTTTTTTAATAGAAGAGAGGACTGCGTGTTTCATTGACCCCCAGCCAGGGTTCTGTGGGGGGTCTAAGGAAGGCAGACGAGTGCTCTAGCTAATGTTTGCTTGGGGTGAGGGTAGGTCATTGAAACAAACACGACCAAGGGGGATGGCAGTATCACTGTCAAAGCCTATGGTGAGCACATTCCCCGCAGCATTCACTCTGAACAAAATCTGCCTCTGACAGTATCTTAGAAGAAGGTTGATTAGAAAACTGGCCTGGGGATCAGGAGACCCAAAGTCTGCCACTGAACTGTTGTGTGACCTTTGGCAGATCACATCACCTCTCTCAGGATCGCCAGCTGTAAAATGGCTATAATAATGAGGGAGGCAGAGTGGCCAGCAGGAATGAGGGAACGGCTGGGAGTCAGAGTGCGGAGTTCTAATCCTAGCTCTGCTAGTGACTCACAATGTGGCCTTGGGCCACTCACTTAACCTCTCTGCCTCAGTTTCCTCAGCTTTAATAAGGGTCAGCAAACCTAACTTACAGAGTGTCATGAGGATGGCACAGTTCAGATTTTTAACAGTGCAGTTTCTTTTGTGGGGACAAAGGAGGCACAATATGTGCTAACACAGCAGCAGAACATCCTGGAGCAATGCGTGGTCATTGGCACAAACCTCTACGCTGCAATGCAGGATTGTAACACAGTGGAGTGTCCCTTTCCTTCCCCCAAATTCTAAGGCCAATCCCGTCCCTATTAATTTTTCTTCCTGTTTCCCCCCACTCCCTTTCTCTTCTCTCACCTCCCTCTTTCCTTCACTGACAAAGGAGCGTACAGCTACTGTACGATTGGGGCTAGGATCTTTGATGAATTTCCCAGGTTCTAACCCCCAGCAGTCACTTTCTGATTGGAATCACAGGGTCGTTTTCAGCAAATTAATGGGAAATAAATGGGACAGATGATATCTGGGGGAACTGGAAGCCCAGTTCATTTGGGCATCCAAATCTTTTAGGCAACTTTGAAAATCTCCTGTAAAAACTCTGACTTTCCCCCCATTACTGCCTCCTCTGTGTTGCCTAATAGGTCCCACCCAGGAATTTGCATTAGAGAACTCAGGAACACATTATCCCCCTCATACAACAGTTGGCATGTGGTGGTATTAAGGTGCTCCCGGGATATGCAAAGGCTAGGATCAGCAAGATCAGTTTTCAGAAGGGGGAGGGCAGAGTTGGTATAACCCAGTGTTAGTCATTTCCCATCATTAATCCTTTATCAATGGCTGACATCAGCTGAAACCAGGAGAGTTTGCTTTTACCAGTGACTAGCACCCGAAAAACCGGAAGAGTTCATTCCAAGGCCAAAACCTGGCCTGAAAATTCACATCCCGACCCACCGTGTAGTCAACCACATTCTATTGGCAGTAAAACGTCAGAACATTTTCTTGGTTTCCTCTGGTCAGAATAACTGGGGGTCTCAGGTCTTGCGAGAGGGTTTCTAGCCAGGCCATATAGAGGGAGCTGGGGCATCGCCCCTTTCTGCCTATTGGCAAGGTTCTGGAAAGGAGAAGAACAAAAACAAGAGAAGTATGAAGTGGGGAGGAGAAAAACCTTGCATCTATTTTTGCCTTGGAAGAGTATTATTCCCTCAGTGAGAAGTCCATGCAGATTTGCAGATTATAGATCCACCTCATACACTGTGTGCCACCAACTTTCTGTGTCCTGTCCACAACACTGATTCCTGTTCACTTTGAATTCTGCTTTATTTGTACTATCTGTGCTAGCAGAGGAGCGGAGCAGAACGGATAAACCTGACTCGCCCTATGAGCGGTCCTTGTGCTGTAAATGCTTCCGTAGGCAGCCCCTGTTTAAGATTCAGTTCCATGAACAGTTTGTGTCATGTCAGGCATTCATAAATGGAGAGCTGTGTTTCCTCAACTGGTCACTAGGTGGCCGGTGACTACAGGCTGTGGGGTGAGTTCAGTGCTAGTGACTTATAGCTCTTACAATCAGGGCAAGGAGTCGGACCATAAGAAAGTGAAGTGAATTCAGTCAGCTGGCCTTGGCAGGAGAGGGGCTGAGCTTTCTGTGTCACACGTGACCAACACTGTCTGGAGGGTCGAAAAGAATTTCTGAATGAATGACAGCCTCACAAGAGTCAAAATCTAAGTGGGCATCACTGACACAGGGACACCTGCTCACCTGTTTATGGCCATATGAATGTAGCCTCCAAACCTACACCCAATAGGCCTTATTGGCCAGATTTTCTTGTGAAATCCAGCCCTTTTGCAACACTCAGGAGGTGAAACAGGGGCCAGAAAGCAGGTGGACCTCCCTAGCTGAGAATTCTCCTGCCATGTGGAGTCATCAGCTGCACAGACCCAGAGTAGCCCACTCCTACACAACTCCCACACACCACCTTGGCATAGCCAATATTACTGGAGTGCTGTTGCATTCCAGCTATTCTGAGCCTGAGATTGGCCCTTTTAGGAGCTTCTACCAACTGGTGTAGTTTAAAGCAGCCTTGAGGCTGCTCTAAATTATGCCAGGACTGGTTCCAGTATGGAGCCAACCTGAATCAGGGAGCTGCAACCAGCTCTTTTGTGACCTCTTCCCCTCTTCTGGAGCAGCAGAGAAGCTGGCCTTCTAGGTGGAGAGTATATCGTCAGTGGAGCAATTATCCAATCTGCGCAATTAGGGTCTGCTCCAAACTGCTGCACTATCATACAAACAAATAACAAAAAAATATTGCATTACGCTACAGTAATGGTCCTGAGCCCTACCTCCCTAGCATCACCCGTAGTGTGTTAGGCCATCACTGTAGAAAACTAGTATTTTTATGTGGGCTTTTCTGCAGATGCTGCATAGAAGGTTTAGAGGTTTTTAAGGCCTGGCTTGACAAAGCCCTGGCTGGGATGATTTAGTTGGGGATTGGCCCTGCTTTGAGCAGGGGGTTGGACTAGATGACCTCCTGAGGTCCCTTCCAACCCTGATATTCTATGATTCTGTAAGGGGGTATACTTGGGGGCATCCATGGATTGGTAGTGTCTGCTTAGTTGTTATTATGTAGAAGGGAGAAGACTGAAGGGGCTGTTTCTATAGTAATCTATCCAAGAACAAAAACAGACCCTAAATACACTGACTTGCTGGAGAAGACAATATATAAGAGACGCATTACAGATCCTGATCACTCTGGGAGCTGCTGTTACTTACATGACTATGAGAGCAGCATCCCGTGAGTAATCCAGCAAAATCTCATTCAGTCTCACTTGTCGAAGCGACTAAGGAGCAAAAAGTAAAAATCACATCAGCACAAAGTCAGTCAGGCAGCGTCCCCCTGGAATGCCCACGGATTTCCCTGGTCCAGCACCCACTGTCCCCAGTGGGAGTCAATCCACTGACCGAGTGCACGCTGCAGGGCTGTGGTCGTTTGCCAAACAGAGGAGAGATCTGTGAAACTCGGGACTGTCCCATGGAATTAAGGATGAACCTCACCCTGGTTACTGGTGAGGCCCCTAGCTACCAGCACTGGGCATTCCCTGCCTGCTGACCTCGTCTCCAGCTGAACATGCTGCCGCTCTCTTAACCTCTCCTGAGAGCCGGTTCCTTCCAAACCCTTTGGTCCTGCCTATTGCTTCAGCATGGAATCAGCATAAAAAAACCTCTGCAGCTCACTCTGTTCTCCACAGCAGCAGAAGAGCTCACGAAGGGTCCGGTCTGCACCCGGTGAAGTCAACGGCAGCACTTCCATTGACATCAGTGGGTGCAGGATTGAACCAAGAGGGCCCCCAAATCATTACGGGCCCAATCCTGTAAGGTGCTGAATGCTATTGCCTTGTAGTGATTTCAGTGGGAGTGGAGGGTGCTCACAGCACCTTACAGGATTGGGATCCTGGAAAAGCCTGGAAGCAAGAAGAGCTTTCTGAATCGCGGATTAGGTCAGGAAAATCCTTTACATGAGAATTCCTAGGTATTCTCCCTTCCCCAGCTGTTGCAATCTCCCAATAGCAGTGGTAATGTTCCTACCTTTACTTTGTTTTTATTAAGCTCCTCATCAGAAATCTTCCAGGGGCAGTCACGCCTCATTTCATTCACCACGGCCTCGTCCTTAAACCCATCGTTCAGCCTGAAGGGGGCGATCAGGTCATCAAATCTCTTGATGCTGCAAACAAAGAGCATGATAGGATTGGAGCTCTGTCCTGACATTTGCTGTACTGGATAAATGCTGCTGGGGTTCATGAGCATGCTGGGGGCTCCCATTAGAAAGATGGCAACTGTTATTTGTTTCTGAAGAGAGATCCTGGATCAACAAGAGAACTGGTCAGGTCTGAGTCGTCATGGATAGTTCCCTGAAAACTTCAGCTCAATGCCCAGCGGTGATCAAGAAAGCTAACAGTATGTTAGGAACCATTAGGAAAGGGATAGAAAATATCGAATACTGTGTGCAGTTCTGGTTTCCCCATTTCATAAAGGATATCACGCAACTGGAACTGGTTCACAGAAGGGCAACAAAGACGATCAAGGGTCTGGAACGGCTGCCATATGAGGAGAGACTAAAAAGATCAAGGCTGTTCAGCTTAGAAAAGGTGGCGACTAAATGGGGATATAACAGAGGTCTATAAAAGCACACATGGTGTGGAAAAAGTGAATAGAGAAGTATTATTTACACTTTCCTACACTACAAAAACCTGAGGTCACCCAATGAAATTAATGGGCAGCAGGTTTAATACACACAACAGGAAATACTTTTTCACACAACACACAAATTAACCCGTGGAACTCATTGCCATGGGATGTTACAATGACGAAATGTATAACTGGGTTAAAAAAAAAAAACCTGGATAAGTTCATGGAGGATAGCTGTTGATGGACCTATTAACCAAGATGGTCAGGAATATAACCTCTCACTCGGGGTGACCCTAGACCTCTGACTGCCAGAAGCCGGGAGGGGATGACAGAGGTGGAATTTCTTCAAAATTGCCCTGTTCCGTACACTCCCCCTGAAGCTTTGGTACCGGCCACTATCGGGGACAGGATGCTGGGCTAGATAGACTATTTGTCTGACCCAGTATGGCTATTCTTATGTTCTAATGATCTTCTGATGAAAAAGCCCTTTTCACAAAATCTAAATTTTTCTTTTATTTTGCTGAAAAATTTCCATTTTTCCATTAGGAAAACCAAAATGATGGCTGTCCACCTAGAAGGGTCTTGTTGATTTCACTGTTTGCTGCAGTTCTGTACTTTCTTCCCTTTCAGTTCTTCCAAGATGGAATTTTTCTGGAAATCCCTGGTTGTGAAAAATTTCACGTTTTGGGCTTTTCATCCCAATCCAGGATGAATTTTTTTTTTAAATGTGAAATTTTTCGTGAGAAGGGATTTCCATTTTCCAGCCAGCTTAGATCAACTGCCCTGGAAACTTAATTCCTCTGTTCACAGGTCAGTCCCTTTGTTGGCTACTTCAGGAGAACCCATGTACCCCTATGCAAGGTAAGAAACCATTTTCAGGCTCTCTGCACAGGTATTACTGTGGAGAATGATTTGGAAGAGCCCTCTGAGGGAAGGGATCAGAAGGAGACCCCATCAACCAGAAGGCATGAGATGCATTGTCCTAGGGATGGGGGTTCCATGACCACTACTCCCAAGAGGAGGAGACTGGTGGTGGTGGTCGGGGACAGAGTCATCCATCTGCCGACCAGACCGAGAGACTCAAGAAGCGTGCTGCTTGCCTGGAGCTAGAATTCAGGATGTGACGGAGTGTCTGCCAAGACTGATCAAGTCCTCGGACCGGTACCCCTTCCTACTTCTCCACGTGGGCACCAATGATACTGTCAAGAATGACCTTGAGTGGGTCACTGCAGACTACGTGTCTCTGGGAAGAAGGATAAAGGAGTTTGAGGTGCAAGTCGTGTTGTCCATCCTCCCTGTTGAAGGAAAAGGCCCAGGCAGGGACCATCAAATTGTGGAGGTAAATGTGTGGTTACGCAGGTGGTGTCGGAGAGAGGGCTTTGGATTCTTCGACCGTGGGATGTTGTTCTGGGAAGGAGGATTGCTAGGAAGAGATGGGATCCACCTAACAAAGAGAGGGAAGCGTATCTTCGCAGGCAGACTTGCTAACCTAGTGAGGAGGGCTTTAAACTAGGGTTTGCTGGGGGACAGTGACCTAAGCCCTGAGGTAAGTGGGGAAGTGGGATACTGGGAGGAAACACAAGGAGGAGGATACAAGATGGGAAGCCTCCTGATTCATACTTGAGAAAGCAGGGCAATCGGCTAGTTATCTTAGGTGCATGTACACGAACGCAAGGAGCCTGGGAAACAAGCAGGAAGAATTGGAAGTCCTGGCACAGTCAAAGAACTATGATGTGATTGGAATAACAAAGACTTGGTGGAGTAGCTCACATGGCTGGAGCACTGTCATGGATGGGTATAAACTGTTCAGGAAGCACAGGCAGGGGAGGAAAGGTGGAGGACTTGCACTGTATGTAAGAGAGAGGTATGATTGCTCAGAGCTCCAGTATGAAACTGGAGAAAAGCCTGTTGAGAGTCTTTGGGTTAAGTTTAGAAGCAAGAGCAACAAGGGTGATATCGTGGTGGGCGTGTGCTATAGACCACTGGACCAGGAGGATGAGGTAGACGAGGCTTTCTTCGGACAATTATCTGAAGTTTCCAGAACACTGGCCCTGGTTCTAATGGGGGACTTCAATCACCCTGACATCTGCTGGGAGAGCAATACAGCAGTGCACAGACAATCCAGGAAGTTTATGGAGAGTGTTTGGGACAACTTCCTGGTGAAAGTGCTGGAGGAACCAACCAGGGGCCGTTCTCCTCTTGACCTGCTGCTTACAAACAAGGAAGAATTGGTAGGGGAAGTAGAAGTGGGTGGCAACCTGGGCAGCAGTGACCATGAGATGGTTGAGTTCAGGATCCTGACAAAAGGAAGAAAGGAGAGCAGCAGAATATGGACCCTGGACTTCAGAAAAGCAGATTTTGACTCCCTCAGGGAACTGATGGGCAGGATCCCCGGGAGGCTAATATGAGGGGGAAGGAGTCCAGGAAAGCTGGCTTTATTTTAAAGAAGCCTTATTGAAGGCACAGGAACAAACCATCCCAATGTGCAGATAGAATAGCAAATATGGCAGGTGACCAGCTTGGCTTAACAGAGAAATCTTCGGCGAGCTTAAACACAAAAAGGAAGCTTACAAGAAGTGGAAACTTGGACAGATGACTAGGGAGGAGTATAAAAATATTGCTCAAGCATGGAGGGGTGTAATCAGGAAGGCCAAAACACAACTGGAGTTGCAGCTAGCAAGGGATGAGAAGGGTTTCTACAGGTATGTTAGCAACAAGAAAAAGGTCAGTGAAAGAGTGGGACCCTTAATGAATGGGGGAGGCAACCTAGTGACAGATGATGTGGAAAAAGCTGATGTACTCAATGCTTTTTTTGCCTTGGTCTTCACAGACAAGGTCAGCTCCCACACTGCTGTTCTGGGCAACACAGTATGGGGAGGAGGTGAACAGCCCTCAGTGGTGAAAGAACAGGTTAAGGACTATTTAGAAAAGCTGGACATGCACAAGTCCATGGGTCCAGATCTAATGCATCCGAGGGTGCGGAGGGAATTGGCTGATGTGATTGCAGAGCCATTGGCCTTTATCTTTGAAAACTCGTGGCGATCGGGGGAGGTCCCGGGCGATTGGAAAAAGGCTAATCTAGTGCTTATGTTTAAAAAAGAGAAGAAGGAGAACCCAGGGAACTACAGACTGGTCAGCCTCACCTCCGTCCCTGGAAAAATCATGGAGCAGGTCCTCAAGGAAACCATTTTGAAGCACTTGGAGGAGAGGAAGGTGATCAGGAACAGTCAACATGGATTCACCAAGGGCAAGTCGTGACTGACCAAACTAATTGCCTTCTATGATGCGATAACTGGCGCTGTGAATACGGGGAAAGCAGTGGATGTGATATATCTTGACTTTAGCAAAGCTTTTGATACAGTCTCCCACAATATTCTTGCCAGCAAGTTAAAAAAGTATGGATTGGATGAATGGACTATAAGGTGGATAGAAAACTGGCTAGATTGTTGGGCTCAACGGGTAGTGATCAACAGCTTGATGTCCAGTTGGCAGCCGGTATCAAGTGGAGTGCCCCAGGGGTCGGCCCTGGAACCGGTTTTGTTCAACATCTTTATTAATTATCTGGATGATGGGATGGATTGCACCCTCAGCAAGTTCATGGATGACACTAAGCCGGGGGGAGAGGTAGATACGCTGGAGGGTAGGGATAGGGTCCAGAGTGACCTAGACAAATTGGAGGACTGGGCCAAAAGAAATCTGATGAGGTTCAACAAGGACAAGTGCAGAGTCCTGCACTTAGGATGGAAGAATGCCATGCACCGCTACAGGCTGGGGACCGACTGGCTAAGCAGCAGTTCTGCAGAAAAGGACCTGGGGATTACAGTGGATGAGAAGCTGGATATGAGTCAGCAGTGTGCCCTTGTTGCCAAGAAGGCTAACAGCATATTGGGCTGCATTAGTAGGAGCATTGCCAGCAGATCGAGGGATTTGATTATTCCCCTCTATTCGGCACTGGTGAGGCCATATCTGGAGTACTGCATCCAGTTCTGGTCCCCCCACTACAGAAGGGATGTGGACAAATTCGAGAGAGTCCAGCGGAGGGCAACGAAAATTATCAGGGGGCTGGGGCACATGACTTATGAGGAGAGGCTGAAGGAATTGGGCTTGTTTAGTCTACAGAAGAGAAGTGTGAGGGGGGATTTGATAGCAGCCTTCAACTACCTGAAGGGGGGTTCCAAAGAGGATGGAGCTCGGCTGTTCTCAGTGGTGGCAGATGACAGAACAAGGAGCAATGGTCTCAAGTTGCAGTGGGGGAGGTTTAGGTTGAATATTAGGAAACACTATTTCACTAGGGGGGTGGTGAAGCACTGGAATAGGTTACCTAGGGAGGTGGTGGAATCTCCTTCCGTAGAGGTTTTTAAGGCCTGGCTTGATAAAGCCCTGGCTGGGATGATTTAGTTGGGGATTGGTCCTGCTTTGAGCAGGGGGTTGGACTAGATGACCTCCTGAGGTCTCTTCCAACCCTGATATTCTATGAATTGAACAGGCCTATGGGGAAGCTACCCTGACGGTGTCTATTCATCCTTCTATGTTCTCTAGTCATCCATTCATTCCATGTTCCTGTGGTGATGACTTCCGAACCAAGGTTGTGGCACATTGTCTGGGCAGCATTGAATAATCTTGACCTTCCTCTGTCTGTACTGTGAATAGTCCAGTCCTGCCAACCCCAGTCATGTGTCAGGTGCCAAAAAAATCACAAGATTTGATGAAAATCATGAGATTTTAAAAAAATAATCAATGTTGGGTTCTTTTCATTTGCTTTCAGGTATCTGAGCCTTTAGGGGGCATGTTTTCAAAGTGTTCTCTAAACACAGGGGGGCTGGAAACTTACTTTTTTCCTTTACATGAAAGCTGAGGTTCTTCCATAATATGACTCTGGGAGCTGGGGCCTTGCATAAAACACCAAGTATTATGAGACTTGTCCTGCAATCGTGATAGTTGGCAACACTGATTTTCTTTGGCTAAAGACAAAACACCAGTCTCCAGGGCTGGCACCTTTCCTCTGCATGAAATTCACTTATAAATGTAGAAAATGGCTGGGTTACAAGTGTAATTTTCTCCTTTTCTGCCCCCAACCTTCACACTCCCCATCTGGTAGAAGCTGAGCCCCTAATCAAAGCATGGGATGGATTAGGGGCAAGAAGAACTCTCAGGTTCCACTTGATGTACACACAGTCAAGACACACACACACACAGGAACCACATCTGGAGAATGAAAGAGGCAAAGACAAAAACTATAGAAATAACGTACTGTTCAGGGCGTGGTTTCTGGTTAATGTCTGGAAGGATATGCACCTCATGGAACCCAAGTCGGAACTTGCTCAATAGAGAGACAATCCTGTAAGAGAGAAAAAGGGGGATTTTTTAAAAATCTACTCGTTTTTTTCCTGCTCAATACTTTACTAACCATCCCAGGATTCCCAGAAACTCTCTGAACATTTAAGAATCAAGCGAAGCAGTGTTGCCTAGTGGCTAGAGCACTAGCCTGAGACTCAGGAGACCTGGGTTCTAGTCATGGCTCTGCCGTTGGCCTACTGAGTAACCATGGGTAAGTCAATGTGCCTTTCTGTGCCTCAGTTTCCCCCTGTAAAATGGGGATATTGCTACTGACCTCTTTTGTGAAGCGCTTTGAGCTCTACTGATGACAAGTGCTAAAGAAGAGCATTATGATAAATATCTGTCTGCTTAGCAAGCCCTGCAAACACTAGGCCCAGTGTTTACTACTCTGAGTGGTCCATTGAAATCTACTCATGGTAGTAAGAATTTAGCCAGGTAGTAAGTATTGGCACAGTCATATTCCAGGTGAAATGTCAGAACCAGGAGGTGGCCGGGGGAGCTTTCATGGCGTGGCCAATTGCTCTTTTTCTGTTCCACTGAGTGTTTAACAATATCACCTAACTACCATATCTTCTGTAGTAAGATAGTGCAGGGTGGCATTCGGCTACTTTCCCCAATCACTGCTGACGGCTCTTTCTGTGTTCAGCTCCTGGAATTTCATGAGCCGTCTAGTTCAGGCCTCTTACCAGTGGGAATTTCATTTCCATGGCCCTTGGGTTTGCATTTTTAAAAATCATATTTGCATTTTTTTATTCTCAACCCTTGTGTCCTCTCAATACATTTCCCCACCAACACAATGTCATTTTAAAATAAACAGACAAACAAACAAATGGGGCAGATCGGCCGATGATATAAATCAACCTAGCTCCGTTAGCTGGAATGGAATTTTGCTGATTTACACAAGCTGATGACCGGGACCCATGGCATACCATGCGGAAGAAATATAATTTAAAAAATGGTCAAAACCAAAAAAAAGAGCTTCTGACATTTCTAAAACAAAGAGAAGAGTGTTGGGTAAACAGCAAAATTCCAGACTTAAATCCCCCAAAGATGCAGCAAATCTGTGAGATAGTCCAACCTGTGGGGTAGGTGGCAGGTAACTTATTATTTTGTCTTCTGTGTGCTGTGCCTTTACATTTCTAGGAATCTGCTGAGGCAAGCTGCCATTTTGGGCGGTTGAGTTGATTTCACAGCAGACACACACAGATTGGGCTTTCCCATGGAGACTTTGCTTTTGTTCTTTCTTCCTTAGTTATTTCAGTTAATCCAAAATACACGCCATTCAGACTGAATATAGAGAGTTGATGTAAGGCCCGCTGAAGTCAATGGAAAGACTCCTATTGGCTACTGTAGGCTTTGTACTAGGCCCTTTGTGTACAGAAAATCATAACAGAAGTGACTCTGAATTATCGATGGGATTAGTGGCAGCTAATGGTCTCCCAAGCTCTATTTGATCAATGCTCAGTAATGCACTCACGCCTTCCTCTCTTCATCCATCCTGTGGATCTGCCCACCAACAAACACCCGGGTTCTGCACTTGCCCCACCGCTTCTTGCGACTGAGGAGGAACGGAATGAGGAGCGTCAGACCTGCCGCAGGGAAGAGCACAGGGATTGGTTCTTACTTTTGGGGACCAAACAACTATTTAACATTCTGAATCAGAGATGGAGAAGGCCCTGTGTGCTTGCCAGCCCATCCCCCCATCAATGTGAGATTGCACCCTAGGAGGTATTTTCTAGTGTACTGTCTCCAGCTAAAATCACACACTGCATTGCCAGATCTCTGGGTTGCAGTTAGTCCCAGAAAAGGAGACTCATACAAATATTTTAGTGCAATCTCTTTATCGTGAAAGTGCAACTTACAAACGTAGAATTATTTTTTTTGCATAACTGCACTCAAAAACAATGTAAAACTTTAGAGCCTACAAGTTGAACCATGAAGGGGCATACTAAGGTTTAGCATATCTGGCATGTAAATACCTTGCACACTACTGGCTACAACAGTGCATTGC